AGCTCCAACCCCACCCTAAGTGTCTAAGGAAAATAGTGTGAGTGGGCACAGGCATCCGTGGCGAGAAAAAAAAAAAAGGTTTGAAAAAAATAAAAAAATAAACCAGATGAGATTAAAATATAATGTGCTGCATCTTTTATAAACTCTGTCAGATGAAACGTACACTGAGGTGTTCTGAGGTAGTGTACATGAGGTCGTTACTGGAAGGATCCAGGCAGTCGAAGATGACCGTGTCAGCTCCTTTGCAGTACAGCTTAATGTGGCCTTGTGGGTTTTTTACTGAAGAACAAAACACAACAAGAACACAAATATGATCACAGAACAGAAACAGTAAGAATTTGACAAGCAGCTTGTTTGACGTTGTTATATTTCAGTGTCTTCTCTGTGTGACGGTTCATAGCTGTTATAAGTGAAGACCTAACCAATGACACTCATTCTCTTGCGCACGTTGTTGAAGTCCAGTATGGCCAGCAGCTGGTAGGTGACGGCCCGCCCCATCTCCCACAGTGTGATGGTTTCTGGGGTTCGAGCTCGGAAGACGAACCCGAAGTTTCGTGCTGCGGTGACCAACGCCCCCTCGTCGGGGGACTGGGCCTGGTACACCAAATTCCCTTCATTTAGACAAACAGTAAGAAAACAAAAAGTTTAATAAACGAGTAGCTTTGTTGTTACCAACTGGGTGTAGAGATTTTTACCTTCACTCTTCTCCTCTGGCATGACGGTGTGGCACAAAGCAAGCAGTCTGAAGAACTCCTGAACTGAAGGATCCTCTCGTTTGACGGCTTCGACCAGGCCGCTGTCGTAAAACTTGAACCCCTTGTCGCAGAGAGGGTTGAAGGAAAAGTCCACACAGGCTGTTTTCTGAGGACACGGCACCAGTTTTATCAATCATGTTCTTGTTCTGTTAAAAAAACATTAATTTTATATTTTATTTACCTCTGTAATTTCCACCCTCTGGTCAAGTTCATCATAGACGTCACCTAGAAGGGGGAAAAAAATCACTCCATTATACGGTAGAATTTAAAAGATGT